GAGAGGGATCGGAGCAGTCAGGGGACAGGGAGCAGAGGGGTTTAGATGGGTCGGTAGTTCTGGGGAGGGCTGTCAGGGGACAAGGAGCAGGGAGGGTTGGGAGTTCTGGGGGGGGGCTGTCAGGGGGCAGGGGTGGGGAGAGGGATTGGAGCAGTCAGGGGACAGGGAGCAGAGGGGTTTAGATGGGTCGGTAGTTCTGGGGGAGGCTGTCAGGGGACAAGGAGCAGGGAGGGTTGGGAGTTCTGGGGGGGGATGTCAGGGGGTGGGGAGTGGTTGGATGGGGCGTGGAAGTCCCAGGGGTCTGTCTGGGGGTGGGGGTGTGGATAAGGGTTGGGGCAATCAGGGTACAGGTAGGGTCCTAGGGGGCCAGTTAGGATGGGGGGAGGGTCTCAGGAGGGGCAGTCAGGGGACAAGAGGCAGGGAGGCTTAGGTAGGGGGTGGAGTCCTGGGGGGCAGTTAGGGGCAGGGGTCCCAGGAGGGGGCAATTAGGGGACAAGGAACGGGGGGAGGGTTGGGAGGTTTTGAGGGGGGTGGGAGGGGCAGGGGCGGGGCTAGGGCAGGACGGGGGCGGGGCTCCTCCCGTCCTCTTTTTTGCTTACTGAAATATGGTAACCCTAAGTTAGCATAGTCCCCAGAGTTGGTTTCATTTCCGTGGATGATGATAGTCCTGGATGGGTATAAGTTTTGAAGTAATTTGGAATTATCTGGCGTTAAAGGTTCCGTATGAATGAAAAACTATTAAATTTCCTTGCTACTCTTGCAGAGTTAGATAATACAGGTAGTTGACTGGGAATAAATGGATCATCACTGGATTTTTTTTCACTGGTTATAGGTTGGATTTCATAATATTAGGGCCAAAATTTTTACATTTCAGTGTCTAAGATGAGGCAACTAAATCCACACTTAGATATCTAAGAAATAATACAGTAAATGATTTGTCAGTAGATGAGAAGAAATTGGTATGCTCTTAATCTTACTTACTATTATGTTTATCACTGTAACCTGTTTACATTAAGTGCCTCTTGTTTTGCTTACACCTTTTCTGGTTCATCTCTCTGCATCTTTTCCTCCTGGCTAGGTAAGTGTACAGTGTAATCATTCTTTTATGCTTATGTAATAATGTATTATTTTTATTTCACCAGGAATTTGAACAGTTTAACAGAAGGTTGAATGAGGTGTCTAAAAGAGTCCGTATTCCATTGCCAGTGTCAAATATTCTTTGGGAGCATTGTATACGACTAGCCAATAGAACTATTGTGGAAGGGTAAGTGGTCTATGAACGCCTCTGTAAAGTTAGTCTTCAGTAAATATTTCTGTAATGGCAGTGTTTGTAAGGTGAGGGCCTTAGATTCCATAAAGCTGTGAACTCCACTTTGGTGGACTCCTGCACCTGATGTCAGCGAGGCTCTTTGCAGGCACAGGAGCTTTCTTACATTGAGTTCATTAAAAGATTGGTCCCTAAAATATGCTAACAGGTGTGGGGGTGTGCAGACACATGGCTATTACTGATGATTGACACTGTATAGTGCCCAAAAGTGTGGACGTAAAATAAGACACACCCTTTTCTTAGATAGCTTACAGTCTTTAGAGAACCATACATCGTCAAAGTAGTGAGGAGAAGAGATCAACACAGAATAGTATCTAATACAAATATATGATATAATGGTAGCCAGATTACTGTGCTTCTGTCTGATGATACCCTTGCCAGGAAGGGCATGGAGACTTGCTAACATGGAGTTCCATCCTGAAGACCAGCCTAGCAGTACCACTAAGATGCGAGGGAGCAGGAAGCTTCCTACCCATTCATCCACTATTGTTTGTGGTAGGGAGAGATAGGAAAACAAGTGAGGGGCTCAGTCATAGTCCCCCCACTCCCCACAGGGACTGTAAATGGGGGGCTCTGCCAGTACTGCCAGTTTGTACTCAGCACTGGGGACAGCAGCACATCTTTTGACATTTTGTTGTTTGTTTGTGTTCTTGTCCATTCACCTGTGGCTCTCACCACACCTCTCTTCTGCATCATGATATCTGCCATCCTCCTACTTCCTTCTTCTGCCTTCCTTCCTTCTTTCCTGCTGACTCTATCTTCCCTCACCCGTTTACAGTTCCACCACCTCTGCCCACTCCTTTTTCCCTTTGCAACTTGATCTTCCCTTTCCTGCCAGCATAAGCCTAGGTCCCCCATCTGTATCCTCCTCCTCTTCACCTCTGATGACATCTACCCAAACCCTTCCCGTACCTTTCTACCCCCCCTCTCCACTTCTCACCACCACCACAACAGCTCTCCTCATGCCAACTGTCCTATTCTAACGCCCATCCTCCTTTGTCCTCCCCTTCTCTTGCTGTCTCTGCAACATCCACTCCAGCTCTAAAAAGATCACAGCCATCCATAACCCCTTTGTATTCTGCTCCCTCCATTTCTTGTCTCTTACAGAGACCTGGATCCCTACAGTTGACATTGCTTCTTCAGGTGCCGTCTCTTACAGAGGGCCTTCCTTCTCTCTCACTCCTTACCTTGAATGAGACTGTGATGGGAATATTGGCCTTCGCCATTCCCATTCCTGCTGCTTCCAATCCCTCCCTTTCTCCTCCCCCATCTTTCTTCTCTTTTGAACACCACTGCATCCACCTCGTCTCTCCTCGACCCCAGCATGTTGCTGCCAGGCCTACACTAGTGCCCACCCAACTTCTCCCCATCAGTCGTCCCTTCTGATTTCAGCTCCTGATGCTCTCTTCTCCTCCTCGCAATCTTCTCTACTGATCCTCTGTGACTTCAGCTTCCATGTTAATGACCCATCTGACCCCTTGGCTGCACATCTCCTCACCCTCACCTCCTCATTTGGCCTGCAGCCCTGGTTTAACTCTTCCATTCACTTGACTTGGTCGTCCCCTCTTTGACATGGCCTCTTTCAGCATCAGCCTCACCCTCATGCCCTCTCATTCAGCCTTCCATGACTCCAGTCCATCAGCACTGATGTCTCATCTGCTCTCCACCCTCTCCTTCCCCTTTTCTATCAATATGAGTTGATTCTCTCCATGCTTTCGTGTCCTCCACCTGTAACTCTTCTGTCCTCCTCTCCCATCACAAGGTCTTCGTTGCCAACCCCCAGCCCTGGATCATCCCCAGTATCCGCTTCCTCCCTTCCTGCTCTCATGCTGCTGAGCATCTCTTGCAGAAATCCTGTGAAAGGCTGACTTCTTCCACTGCAAATTCATTCTCTCAGCCTTCAGTTCTGCCGTCCAGGGCCGCCCAGAGAGGGGGGGTAAGTGGGGAAATTTGCCCCGGGACCCGCCGCCGAAGACCCCACACCCCCTGAATCCTCTGGGCGGGGAAAAGTAGAAGATTCTTGTCTGTTCGCATCCTCTAATACCCTCTACTTGCCCCAGTGACGCCATCCTCAACCCATCTCCTGATCTCCTTTGCAGCCACTCTCATCCTGTCCCTTAGTCTTCTCCTTAACCTCTTAGTCTCCCTGTCTCTTTCCCCTCAGATTACAAACACGCTGTAGTCTCGCCCATCTTGAATCCATTCATATTGATGCTGCAAAGACCATTTTCCTAGCCTATCACTTTGACCATGTCATCTTCTCTTTGAATCCCTCCACTGGTTGTCTCTTCCCTTCTCTATTGCATCAAACATAAGCTGTTCGTTTTCACTTTCAAGGCCTTTCATTACCTATCCCTACCCTACCTCTCTTTTCTCTCATTCAATATGAAAATGTTGACTCTTGCCTCTCATTGGCCCACAGTGCCAGCCTCCATCACCCCCTTGTCAAATTTTCAGACAAGCACTTTCGTGGTTTATCCCATGCTGCCTTTCAAGCTTGGGAGGTGCTCTCTGTAAATGTCTCTGACGCTCCCACATTATCCTCCTCCAAATTTCTCTTTAAAACTTTTTTTTTTTGGCCATGATGCCTAAAAACAAAAAAACATTGACAACAGTTAGGCTGCTTGTGTGCTGAGGCCACTGCCTGTCATGCTGACCAATGCTGTTTCATTGTTTCCTGGGACTCCCCTTTCTCTGTCTTTACCCACCTGTTGTCTCTTTTCTTATATTTAGACTGTAAATTCTTTGGGGCAGGGACTGTCTTTTTGTTCTATTTGTACAGCACAGTGGTCCATGAGTGGGACTCCTCGGTGCAATGGTAATACAAATAATAAACAGTGAAAATAATTTTGCATCTGGCAGAGTGAGGGCGTGAACTCTTAGCCTTCAAGTCAGAACCATAATTATATGCATCCTTATGGTTTTAAGGCCTAAGATACAAATGAATCCCACTTATCTCACAGATGTTGTTCACCTCCTTTTAGTCATTTCTTTTCACTTGTTACCCATTTTAGTTATGCCAATGTCAAGAAGTGTAGCAATGAAGGGCGTGCCCTGATGCAATTGGACTTCCAGCAGTTTTTAATGAAACTAGAAAAGCTAACAGACATTAGACCTATTCCGGATAAGGAATTCGTGGAGACCTACATTAAAGCTTACTATCTGACTGAAAATGACATGGAGCGCTGGATCAAGGAGCACAGGGTAAGAATTTTGATACTTTTCTTTTATCAAGACTATTTTTTTCATGGTGATGGTATCACATTAATAACAATACACTCTTTCAGTGCTTTAGTGTGTGTGTGTGTGTGTGTGTAAAATATGTACATGGCTACTGATTTTCCATTGCACACATGGATCACCAAACATGCTTCAATCATTTTTTGTACCTAAGGTGCCATAATTTTCCATTATAAGCCTTTAATACATATAAACGCATATTCACAGATGGAAGACCAATCCATGTCTCATAATGGTGTGTACCAAACAAATATCTAGCTTATTAAGTGAAGAGTGTGACGGGTTGGATCACAGAAACCCCCTTGGGAGCTGCCAACTGATGTGCCAAGACTACTTCTATTCCTGTTTTCCCTGCCAGCTCAGGACTCCAGCACCCTGTCTTGCTGAGCCAGACACTCCCATCTGCTCCGACAAAGACCCAGGGTCTGAATTACCTGCCCCAAAGCTGCAGGTTTACCTGAAAACAGCTCACAGAAGTGTACTTGTCTTTAGCACTCACATGCCCAACTCTCAATGGGGTCTAAACCCAAATAAATCCGTTTTACCCTGTATAAAGCTTATGCAGGGTAAACTCATAAATTGTTCGCCCTCTATAACGCTGATAGAGAGATATGCACAGTTGCTTGCTCCCCCAGGTATTAATACATACTCTGAGTTAATTAATAAGTAAAAAGTGATTTTTATTAAATATAGAAAGTAGAATTTAAGTGGTTCCAAGTAGTAACAGACAGAACAAAGTAAGTCACCAAGCAAAATAAAATAAAATGCACAAATCTATGTCTAATCAAATTAAATACAGATAATCTCACCCTTAGAGATGCTTCAGTAAGTTTTTTCCTCAGACTGGACACCTTCCAGGCCTGGTACAGCTCTTGTTTCAGCTCAGATGATAGCTAGGGGATTCTTCATGATGCTCCTCTCTCTCTCTTTGTTCTGTTCCACCCATTTATATATCTTTTGCATAAGGTGGGAACCCTTTGTCCCTCTGGGTTTCTCCCCCTCCTGCCTCCCCCC